ATGTGAACACATTTGGGACTAACAGGGTTTACTAGAATCCCACCACTCCACCACAGAGTCACCGCAGTAGACGTTAGATGAGCGCTGTCGCTCCGCGGCACTTGTTTTGCTCAGTTATGATATCAGAGTACTTTTACTCAATCTTATCCCTGATGCATGTATGCTAGTGTGGCAGGTGGTTGTTTTTTGTTTTCATTTTTTATTTTCTGTAATGGGATCGTTTGTATCTACTGTTAAGTGATAATGATACTTCAAAACGGAAATGATGTATAGCATTTATATTTTACGTATGTGGTTATTTTTTGTCCTTGGTGATTAGTCAGGGTCAGTAGAGGTTCAAGGGAAAATTTTATATATATTTTATGGATTCACCTGTTCTTTGGAGAATTGGAAGCAACTCGCATCCCAATGGGTAGCCTATTGTTTTAATGATTTTATTCAAGGGAGATTAAAATGTACTGTTTCATGATACATGCAGAGACTATTATTTTGCTATTTATGCAAGGCTCGACACTAACTTTTTTTTTCAGTGGCCCGATCGGGCCACCAAAATAATTGATTTTCAATTTTTGGTGGCCCGGAAATGAAATCTGGTGGCCCGAAAAAAAAACAAAGAAAAACAAATCTTTATTTCAATCTCGTATTGTATATTATTTGAAAATTGGGCCGTCTGATGCACTTGCACAAGTCTTTAAACAAACCCCACACAATGGCATACACTGACATTGATGATTGAGGCATACATTTGAATTATCCATTCCACGGCATCAAATTTTCACCAGAATCTTGCATACCATTTTTCTACTTTCACACATTATTTATCTAAACACGCGCGTGCACATGCTATCGATCAGTTCAGACGTTCAAGAAGATCAAAGTCACCGAGCATGCAAATATTAAAACAAGTAACTGTAATAAAACAACAACACATTGGCTTTTATTAAAATAAAACATATACATTTAATCTCATGAAAGTTAAAATGTCTGGCAGGCTTTGAAACTGTAAAAATAAAATATTGCAGATTTAATAAGATAAAGTAGAACCATAATTATGCACGTAGCCAGTAGCCAACATGAAGGCGAGGAATGCTCGGCTGAGTGTGTCAGCATTGACAAGCCGTCCAGTGATGATCTTCAAATTCCGCTCACTCACTCTGAAAACATTCTGTCGGCAGATCATCAAACAGCGCCAGACTCTGAGTCAACCTCAAGTGCCAATTGCAGCAAATTGACATTGTTGACTGAATCTGAGAGTGAATCCGCAGATTGGAAGCCTGTAGACATATCGGGTTTACCGGCTGACCCACCAAAAGCGGCATTGAATTACGAGAAAAATGTCCCTCCTTGTATGTCTACGAGTGATTCCAACCCTACATCCGAGTTAGCCAGTCAATCGGTGATGACCGGAACCAGTAGCAATGCACAGCCGCACGCTAGTCAATCGAACAGCGTTGCTGGTTTACCTATGAAATCTGCAGTGAAAGACGCTGCAAAGCTACCGGCGAGCAGCACTCAGATGTCAGTCAGACGGCAGGATGAAGTAAAGAAGCATTTTGTCGACTGGAAAGTAGGTGGCTATTCAGCATCTCTGTCCTCAACCTCACCTGGCGAGGCAAATACCGCAAGCTTGAGGTGATTATAGTGGGTGTTGGGTGTAATTGAGTACGGTTTTTGAACTAAGTTTGGTATGGTAATTTTTAAGAGTTGCTTTGATATATGCTGAGGTGGTACTTAATGCTTACTAGTGGCTATATTCCAGCCTGCTTATAACAATTTTTCATTATTTTCTGTTTTTATGAATTTTTTGAATTTTCTGGTCTTTGTTTAGACAAATCTGTTACGCGCATAAATGCATGAATTTAATTTGAAAGTTACAGGAACTACTTCCTAAAAACGAGCATAGGATTGCTTGTGCATGATTATTAAAAATCCTGTTGTAAAAGGGCATATATATATATACGTTTTTGTAGTGGCTAAACTAACAGAATGGGCAAATATGAGTTTCGTACATATGGTAACAATCGCTGTTCTTCTTTATTTCATGGCACCATTAGGTTGGCACATGCTCTACCGATTAAGGGGGAAGAAACAGCAATTACCTCTGCAAAACACCAACTTGGCCATAAACATGGATGTAAGTCATTTGGTCATCCTTGCCTAAGATGTGTTTGTGATGCTATTGAAGTCGGGAGTACATGTTTGCCTCCTTAAAATGAGGATCTACCTGGCACTGATTGTCTTTGCTTACATTGAAAATGCATCAATAAGTCAGTGCAGTGGTGGTAAGTGCATGCCATCATCTTACCTACAGTACAGGTATATATATACAGGGTTCTCCAAGCTTTTAAATTATAGCATGGGGGTGCTACGCACTGCTAGGCGGGTGCCTCATGAAATTTTTAATTATAGAAGCTCTGAGATGGCATAATGGATACTCCGTGTGTGTACATTTGAGCAGCCTGCAATGTGGGCGTGAAAACTGTTTTGTTTGGCATGGCAACCCATCAGTAGAATTCAAAATAATTATTTCTTTGATGAGCTACGAAAACAATCGATTTGAAGTATGAAAATGAAACATTATTGTGCCAGCTAGCCTACTGCCAGTTGGCTTGGGTATTGATTGTCAGGTTCAGACTGCAAAATCTGAAAGCAAAAGCGTTTATACAACCATAGATTAAATTTTGGTACTGTAACACGCTGTACATATAAGGCTAGCCGAGTCGGTTTAGAGTTAGTGTTAGGGGTTGAGGGATAGTAGACTGTTTGGACTTGTGTGTGGCGACTGCACATACCGTAGCATCGAGACCAACGTGTATTAATTGTTTGAACTTCTTGTATAGTTACACCAGCATGGCGGCTATGATATTTAGGTGGCGGTGCATTTTAGGATGGCGGGGCTCGCGATGCTGGGCCGCTGGGAAGTACCCTTGGAGAACCCTGATATATATATATATATATATATTTCGGTGTATACAACACTTTAATACGGCGACAAATGCGACCTGTTTAAGTCAGCATTTTAGTTTCCGTTTACATGCCAATACAGGTCGGAGTGAAGATACACTATCCACGGTCAGTGATGGCACAGCTGGTCCTGTTTCTTCTCTGGTTCGCAGTGACGACAGCTTCCTTAATGCTGAGCTTGGTCTTACTGAGGATCATTTCTCACTCCCAGAGGTAATGCCAAGAAGCAGGTGGCCTTTAGTTGGTTACGTGGTAGCTATGCTGTATTAAAAAATGGGTCTATGGGGTTGGAGGTTAAGTTCCAGCAGCAAGTGTGTTTGGGAATGAGCCATAAGTTCAAAGGCAGCAGTGCATCATAGTGCTTCAGGCATTTCGTAGCCTCTGGTGAACACCAAATTGGTAACAATAGGCAACGTGGTAGGTAGAAAATGCTCATTAATGATTGCATTAAAAATTTTTAATAATTTGCAGGTATGCATGCTTTCGTTCGTGTCTCATTTAGTGTTGCACACTATAACGTTACGGTTTGTTACAAATATTTTACAGGGCCACTTTGGCATGAGCACGTCCGAGGAGCTTGAAATGGCCGTTGAGAACTGCAAAGAGCTCATACTGAATACACCTGTAAATAGTACTGATAGACGAAAAGCACTGGTTCAGAAGCTAGTACAGCTCAGACTTAAATTACTGGAATTAAAGGTACATGTAAACCCATTTGTAAACAATTATCAGTAGTGGCCCCATCATCCCAGTTGTTTAATTATTAGTTTTTGAAATTCACATATATATATTTTAGCAAGTTGACTGGGTCATGTATTTTTCTGATTCGTGGCATATATTTGAAACACTTTTGGCTCTCTACAGCTGTGAGTCGGTTATAGCACATGATCTCTTATTAATTACAGGATGAAGGGGTAATCGAAGAGGAACCGGATGTGAAAGTGGTGCTGGGTCATAAGTTCGTCAAACGAGAGCAAAGCAAGAGCTACCAGCATCACTGTGAGAAATGCTGCACGCTAATCTGGGGGATGCTGCAGCTGTGGTACAGATGCAAAAGTATGTAGGGGGGAGTAAGGAAATGCACGTGGCCCATAATTTTAGCAGTTTTGTATTTAGGTGTTTTGCTGATGGTGGCTCATTGCATTGGCTCTGAGTTGTCTTATTTAAATGCCTGGGGTCATGCTATATGCCATTATTGTCAGCTTCAGCTCCTGTTCTTGTTTGCACAAGAGTATTGTATACCTATTATTTACATGTATTTGTGCGTGAATGTGTGATTATGTCTGTAATGCATCAAAGAGCCTGAGTAATGTAGACTTTGTACATAGATTGTACTTTGATTGGTCTTGCAATGATGCATAGCTATGTGTCAGATACTACCTACCGACTTGCTTCTGCATTGTTTTTGTTTTTTACAAATGTCTATTTAATATAGTGTATGAAGTTGTGATGTGCTTGAAATTGCTACTCGTGCTATGCTTTAATACATTAATGTACATGTTCTATTTTCAGAATGTGGTTTCCGTTGTCATGGTAAATGCCTAAACCTCATAACAAGAACTTGTGCCAGTGTAAAGGTAACTTTTCTGCTATAAGTGAACTGGGTAATTTTTCTCTAAGTTTCTGCATAACTGGTATAATGTAATTATAATGGGTTATTTAAATACAGGATTATTGTTTGAGTAATTGGCTCAAAATTATCAAAATAAGAATTGTTTTCATACTACTACTACTCAGCGGACGCATCCGAGATAGAGTTCGCAATGCCATGCCATGAATATTTGTCCATCATCAGTGTCTGCATGTCCGCTATGTCATGCTGGATATCCCTTGCAATGCAGATAATTGTTCTCATACCGGTATATTATTTGTAACGTTTTTCTTTCAGGTTCATGAGAATCCAGTATATATACTAAATATCTGCCCAGAAGTGGGCTTAGATACCCAGAACTACAGGTGTGGGGATTGCCACTGTAGATTACCTTTCGGTATGTCTAATAGCAGAAATAACTCAGGTAAATAAGCATGAGTGTTTAAAGGAATTATTTCACAAATAACTGCACAATCAAGAAAAACATTGAACAAAACAAAAATATAGTCTCACCTAATAGCAGACATGTTACTGAAGTTAATGTGAAGTGGAATGTTACAAAACTACCAGTTATTTTCATCAAAAGTTCTCATGCATGGACTCACAAACTTGTTAGTTGTACCTAACTAACCAACTGCACATTATGTGACAACATTTGCTTGCACCTTTTTTTTAAACAAATTTACGGAAAACTTGAAATTCTTATGGATCCTTTCCTAAAAAAGCGAACACGGTTAGCACCCTGCATTATCACCCACAATTATAAGCTCTCGTGCTTATAATTTATGAAACGGATGACATATTATGGATTATATAATACACTGAAGTCTGAATCAATGTTAATAGTTAGAATGTGAGTGTGATCGAAAATGTACGCACCTCTACTGCATTGCTCAGTGAAAGGCTGTTGTGAGCTATTTTCAATTTCTAATTTTCGTTGACGTTCCACTAGATGGAGGCACAAGTCCCCAAAAGCAGTGTGACTACACTGGGCTATACTACTGTAGGGATTGTCATTGGAGCGATATGGTTCCAATACCAGCCAGAATTCTTCACAACTGGGACTTTGAACCTAGAAAGGTAATTACTAGACTTAAACCCTACTGGCTGTTGCTAATATACGTATCACACAATTGCAATAATGTACCCAATCAGGATGAGTGCACCAGAGCTGATGAGTAAATTGGCAAGTAACTATCTCAATTTTGATAACATCCGCACCTGCATCGCGGGGTGATTAGAACGTTCTTACAGTTGCTTGTCATTGTGCCTATTGCAGGTGTGTAGGGCTTCTAAGCAATACCTCAGGTTGATGCAGAGAAAGCCAGTGATCAGACTTCAGGATATCAATCCTATGATGTTCAACTTTGTTGATGAATTAGGAAGATTGAAGGTGAGCTGAGCACAATGTTTAGCAGCATGTGTATTTAGCTCATCTGACGAAGTCAGATGCAGCTTGTAGAATCGCATGAGCGACCGTCCGTGTGTCCGTGTGTCTGTCCGTTCGTCCGTCAACAGTTGGGCACAAATCTTAACCGCTCGACGTACGGTAACGATATTCGAGACGTCGGGTGGGATTGTGAAAAGGACTCGGGCTGACCAATTTAGGGGTCAAGGGTCAAAGGTCAAGATGTGTCAATGGAGGGGGAATATTTTCCTCTTAACTTAAGGTATAGGAGGAAATACGGAATTGCGGCACAAATCTGAATGGCTTGACCTATGCTCTTAATATTCGGTGTATAGTGTGATGGGCAGGAAACCCATCACCAGTGTGAAATTGGAGGTCACAGGTCAAAGGGCAGTGGGGGAAAGGTCATAGCCTAATGGGACATAGCCTAATGGACAGTGAAAAACATTTTTGTTTCAGTGCTGACCTACCATTTTTATCACTTTATTGAAAGGACCATGAAATTTGCTTTCCACTGACGTGCGAAGAGTAAGTGTCTGATAATTTTTTGACCCTCAAGAGGAGGGTTAAACATGGATTTGTTGAATGTTAACAAAGGACTGAACTGCTTTTGCTATTAGAGACCCTTCCATCCGACCTCTCCCCCCACTCTCCCCCCACCACCACCACTGCGCTCGCGCTCGACGCATATCCATGATAACATGTTTAAATATAGTAAGTGATTCTGTGAAGTCATTAAAGTTACACAGCTGTATCTTTATTACTGTACTACCAGTAGGTATAGCACAGCCTATCATAGATTTTAGATCTGTATTAGTAGTATCCTAGATATATGCTCTGAGCGCGAACGCAGTGGCAGGAGGGCGCACTTGATTCGGTTGCCAGTGAGTTTACCAGAAGAATACCAGGGGCCCGTTGTCAGAAACAAAATTAGTCTTAACATTCGTTTTAACATTAACAATTTTTCCTAGACCGTCGACATCACTTTGTTTCGTATTTTTATGAAGAAATCTGCTACGATTTTTCATTCTCGTAACTTCGCAGCGTTTCTGTCAACGGTCTAAGAGAAAAAGTTAATGTTAAGACTAATGTTAAGACTAATTTTGTTTCTGACAACGGGCCCCTGGCTACAGTACACGTCAGTTGAGCGCTGTCGCTCTGCGGCACTTGTTCTAGTGTGTGAGTTCGTCACATTATCGTGTGGCACGCCGGTAACTGCTGTTAGTGTTGAGTAATCTGTAAGATGCATGTTATATTTTAGTAATGGTTTAAAGGTACACTTGATGATTCATTGTTGGTATAATTTCTTTTGCCAGGAACGAAAAATAATCAGCAGGTTGACATTTTCTCAATTATATTCAGCTACATTTAGTTTTCAACTGACAGGCAAATATATTGTGTTTTTGTGTTTAAATAGCATATATTATAGGTGAACATTTTATTCTTTTAGTTTTGCAGTCAGATAACGGGAGGGTCAATCAATCTTCAGTCTGTTATATTGGCAGTAATTAACTACTGATTACATTTTCTGTTTAGAAACAAAGAGAAGAAATTATCATTATGAAGAGATATTTTCTTGCATGTAAAGATGCCCTGGTCAGTGGAATACTTCTACAGGTGAGTATGATTTTAACTGAAATTACGCTTTTCTAAATTGCCATTAATTGTAATAATTAGGGAAAGATGGTAATGGGCAAATTGTCACAGTGTTGTGTGATTATGTGCATCAGGAATAATTATTTTAAGTGGATGGTGTTCCAGTCATTTAAGACTCTAACTTTGTCAGTCCTAGCTAATACCCTGTCTTACACTGGCATCAAAATTGTATTGTCAACAACCTAGTCATACTTTAATGCACTACCATGGATTCTCCTGTGGATTGGAATAATGGAGATCATGTGTTGGAGATAGATGGGGGGTGGACATTACGAATATAATTTAATGGTCTTGGTTGGAGAAAAGAGATAGAAGGCCACAGAGCGTCTTCAACGTTTGTGTGTGCGTGCTTGGCAGTCCACACTATCGCTTGTCTCATTTTTAGCTCTTCTGACGTAGTCAGATGCAGCTTGTAGAATCGCATGATCGTCTGTCCGTCCGTCCGTCCGTCCGTGCGAGCGTCCGTCCGTCCGTAAACAGTTGGGCACAAATCT